CTGCACTTCGTATCCGAAAGCTCTCATTTATCCAGACCCGGCTCGACGTTGCTTAACACTGGCAATCGTATGAGAACCAATGATTCAAGGTAATATGACCGAAAAATTCATTTTGTATCCTGGATATTTCATTTACCCCTTAATTATATATATATATATATATATATATATATATATATATATATATATATATATATAAATGTAACCTTTATAAGAGAGTTGTCGGGACCGGAGAAGAATTTTCTTATATCCGGGTTTCTCTTATATCCGGGATTGGTCTATTTTATATACATTAACACAGGCTCTAATTTGGGACCAGAGAAAATCTCTCATATCCGGGTTTCTCTTATATCCGGGTTACACTGTTCATATATATATATGTGCTTGTTGAAAATTCTTCCGCTCAACCAAGAAATGATTCCTACCTAATATGATATGTTTTGGCTGATTTTGAGAGAAGCCTCGGCGAGAATGGCTTTTCGCACACCCTCATATACTGAAATTGACCGTCAAATTTTGGAGTTTTTTCATTACTGCAAAAAGTGATAGAAGAAATTTAGTTTTCTGAAAAAATGTTTTAAGGAAAAGTTTTCATAAATTTCGAATCAGTAGAAAAGTAACTTCTCACTAACAGTCGAATAGTTCCTTCATTGGAAATGGCTTATATTACCATAAACTTATCAGTTAAAAAAATAAAGGAAATGAAAACTCTTAGCCATGATCGTCTACGTTCTATACAGACGCGATATCTTCAGAATGGTAGACCTGCATTTTAGATGCTTAGTTTATTACGATTTAAATAATATGTTTGTTTGATCTTCTTCAAATGAATGTTGCCCCTGGAAATAAAAAAAAATCTTCCATGGGGAAGGTTCTTCCTTCCGGACTTCTTCAGGATATATACACTGGAATTTCCGGATAAAATTGTTGACTGAAGTAATCCAATGACTTGACTCCAAAACTTTTTAGTTAAATACCTGGCTACAGCATAAGTGTAAAATAACTTAGAGTTTAATTAAGAAAGGGAAATAACTAAAAATGAGATATCCAGAAAAGGCATGGTACGTGGAACTAGAATAATCTACACCGGTGGACAATATAAAGAGTTCGGTTCAAAATTCCAACGTCTGTCACCTGAAGAAGACCTGAGCGTACAACGATTGAAACGTCGTGAATATTACAACAAAGATGAGGACAATAGTCCGACCAATGTAAACAGTGTCAATATACATACATACATACTCTTGTTCATCACTCGAGGAAAATGCGCAGTCAAGTGGAGGAAGAAAATGTGAAAATCCTGTGATTTGTAGCTGACAATTTGCTTCAGCTAACGATGACGTTTTCTTCCCTCCATCTGATGTTGTTTCTGTCAAATTAAAATAAAAGGCATTTATTCACTCCGGGGCTACCATCATAGATGACGAATGTGTTTCGATATTTCGCTTTCATTATCCCATTTTAAATTATCTCTTTTCCCTTTCTGTCAAACCATTTGTTACCTTATGGATGTTATAATTCGATATCATTGAAGACGAGAAACGGAAAACAAAGCCGCCATCGAGCACACTCGAGCCATTAGGCTACTTAACCAATGATTATCTAATTATCGGCCTTGAACTCCCATGTTTTAGAAGCCACAAACAGTAATCACTGATAATTTAGTCGATTCCAACCTGTAATTCGAAATTGTCCTTGGTTATTTTCCAACTGGATTTAACGCAGCGTTCACTTTGGCTTAATTCGCGAAGGTGTAGCCACATAATAACTATCTTGCACAAATAGTTAAATATCATGCAATTGTAGGTTCTTGGATTTATGCATCTGGGAGCCAATCAGAAACAAATATTCAAAATTTAAATTTGAAATCTAAAAGCACTAATCGAGTCAAGGCAAGTGTCGGGTGATGTATTTTACCTTCTTTGGATCAATCAGCATATTAAGATATCGGTTAAGTTGCGAAGAAGATCAGGACTTCTCGACTTGTATGGCAACCGGTCTAGAAGAAGCGAATCTTTAAATTCTAAACGAAGCTAAAGGCCAAAGAAAATCAATTGATTAGCGTAGATTGCGTGCAACTCGAATTTTCTAGCTAAAAAATATATTTCCAAAACAGTACTCATTGACCGAGCAGCCATCACTGGGTTCGGTAGAAATTTATGAAATCCAAAATATTTTTTATATGAAAACAGGTTTCTGAAGTCCATTAGCTGTCATCGCTTTTTATACTTCAAATATTTCAAATAATTATTATATAACTATCATACAGGTTGATTAAAAAGGAACTCCCTATTTTATGTATTGTGTCTTGTAACAATTATAGTTAGACAGGAGTATCCACAATTCATAAAATAGGGAGTTACTTTTCAAACACGATGTATATAATAATATTTTTTATAAATTCAAATGATATTTTTAGTAGAAACTCGAATTTCGCTATGCGATCTGTTTATTTATTAAATAATATATTTGTTCAGCTTAACCTACCGGCCGGAATATTCAACAGATTTTATATGTGTGGGGGGGGTGCGTATAATTATATAATAATAAGAAAACGGAGACATTAATTATCCATTTCGTTAATAATTTTAATTTCATGAACACCGAGATATTCATATCAACAGAACGAAAAACCCGAATGGAGAAATTTCACCGGACAGTCATATATATATATATATATATATATATATATTGAGATCTGTGGAGTTAAGATCCAAGTTAGGACATCTAACATAGACAGGTGTAATATTTGCGGAATCGAGACTTTTATCATATAGTCTTGGTTACGGTGGACTGGTCATGTCTTGAGAATGTCTGATGACAGGATACCCAAGATCCTAATGTACAGCCAGTTAGATCAGGGCTACAGGAATGTAGGACGCCCATGGCTAAGATACAAAGACAAGCTGAAAAGCAACTTGTCAGCAGTCAATATACCACATAACACATTTGAGCGCTTAGCCTTGGAGCGGGTAGAATGGAGATCAACGTGTTTTAGCGGACTCAGCAATTTTCAATCTGCTTGTCTGAATCATCTTCAAGAAGCGAGAGCAAGATCTAAAAGGTCAGCCAATCTAAAGGTGATCTCATCTCACAATCCTCACACTTGCTCGTTATGTGGCCTCCTTTGTAAATCACTAGCGGGCTTTAAATGCCACTTAAGATTATCGCACAAACTTTCACAACTGAATCAATAAGCTGTCAGATCCTCACACGTCGAAACCGACGAGAGAGTCCATTATTATTATTATTATATATATATATATATATATATATATATATATATATATATATATATATATAAACAGTATAAGACACTTTGTATGCATAGAGAGGAGTGCGCATGTACATACGCGTAATGGTATATATATACACATATTGACAAAAGAACTGCTCACGGGCACGCACCCGAAACCATCACAACTTATGAAGTGTGTTTATGTGTGTTTGTGTGTGTGTATGTGTACATATGTGTATACTAATTTCTTATAATAAGACAGTATACATATATTGAGAGAGAATATACGTATGCGTACGCATGCTAACAAAAACACACGAAAAAATGGAAATAGATCTAAGAACAAACAGGGGTCATTAAAAGATAAGAATATAGATATCTTTCTTACCCTTTCTCGGACCAATCTTGATTGTTTTATCACCCTTCACGCAGAATACTTTCGTTGCCAGCTCAAGAAATACATTTAGGTCACTAACACACTAAAAAGAGAATGTCAAATATCAAGAATATTTAACATCGACAAACAGAAGAAAAATTAATTCCTTTTGATAATATGAGGAAATATCCACTCTTTGCCTGACGAAGGTCGTGAGACCGGAAACGCGTGTAGCAAAATTATGGAAAATAAAGCATAATATATTTTTTTATTATACACACTTTTCTCTCGTTGGAATTATATAACCTCTTCCATTTATATATATATATATATATATATATATATATATATATATATATATATATATATATATATATTAAAAATTTGACATGTTTTGCTATAACAGCAGTACTTTCTCATGTAGTTAAAATTTAAATAGTCATACATGTAAATGTTTATGGTTCTTACTTGTTCATTATTAAATACTTTTGAGGTAAATAATGCATACCTAATAAAAAGTACTGCACGCAAAATGGCAAAAAAAAGTGTCAAGGTGAAAATCGCGAAATAAAATATACAATTAGAACCAGGATTGATAGAACAGGGAAATATTTACAATGTGGAGCCTCAAAATGATGACTGCCATCTAGCGGCAGCGGCCAGACCAACGGTCGTTATTCCGAAAATTACAAAATCGTAAAGCCAGAAGACACGATTTGTTCCGTATTAGGTATGAAGAAAGTCATTCAACGCTTTCTCGAAAGAGAGAACGTTCGCATAAAGACAGCACCTTATAAACATGTAAAGCCTCATCATGCAGCGAAATTTATAGTTCTCAAGAGGAGGGAAAACTCCAGAATTTGACAGTTGATATCAGTAAATGAGGGTGTGCAATTATCCCTTCTCTCAAAATCAGCCAAAACATTATTTTAAGTTGGAATCATTTCTTGGTTGAGCCGGGAATTTTTCCGCTAGCATATAAATGTAAAAAAAAAACTGCCAAACCGTGTTTCAACTGACTGATGTAAACGGCAAAACCATGAATAACACACTTGCATATATATATATATATATATATATATATATATATATATATATATATATATATATTTTTTCTATTCACCATATTTTTTCTAATGAAAAACTTAAATTTTGTTATGAAAGATATAAATATTTATTGCTAATTAAGTGGAGCTGGTAAAAGAAAAAAAATACCACTAAAATGGTAACTTCATATATATATATATATATATATATATATATATATATATATATATATATATATAGAGAGAGAGAGAGAGAGAGGTAACTGAAGACAATTCTAGACTTGACCTACATCCCCGAATCAGAATTTCAATGAAAATCACCGGAATAATTAGCTGAAAAATGATTCGATACTGGAGCATTTTCGCATCTCATTGCATCTCACGCCACATCTTTCCTCTCTCACAATTATTATATCTATATGTCTATCTGTCTGTCCCTCTGTCTATCTGTCTGTTTCTCTCTCTCTCTCTCTCTCTCTCTCTCTCTCTCTCTCTGTCCCTTTCTGCACACACTGACATATATATATATATATATATATATATATATATAGATAGATAGATAGATATATATTGTATATTTAGGCAGCAATCCTTCGTTTATGCATGTTTCATTAAAAACGACAGACAAGGTACTACGGTTAAGCTTTTTATTTAATTTTTCTTGTGTTCTAACAAGAGCTTTCTTTTCTGGACAAAGAGTTTGTAAGAACTGTCCAAATGTTTTATATTTCCGAGCGCTTTCGGCTATACCTTTAAATGGCTAAAGATATAGCCGAATATCTATATATATGCGGCTATACTTTTGACGATAGGGTCTCCAATGGCGATTTTCTCACAAAATGCAACATTGCTGAAAGTGAGACCTTCCTTATTCAGTAATAATTTCGATAAGCTGGTTATAATGCAAGGATGAATGACCACAGAATACATAAGGTGCTCATATATAGACACCTTGACAGTGGACAAATTAATGTTAGACACCCGTGGCCCAGGGATAATGAAAAGCTAAGGAGTACCCTCTCAGCTGTCAATGCGCCTCACACTAACACAAGTTACACAGGATACAAATAACTGGCGATATTTTTCAGAGTAGTATCAGAAATTTGAAATCGGTCGTATTGACAGGCTAAATGAGGAAGCACAGCGGTGAAGGGCGTCAGTAAAAGTTGCTATGCTATGACGCACGCTGTTGCACAAAATGCGGGCTTGTATGCGGGACTCTAGCAGAACTGAAGTGTCAAGTTGGACAAAAACATAAAAACTGAGTATGATGTCGTATCGTCATGAGTCGAAATCGAGAATTCATCATATGTATACATAAAAATAACGTTTAATTAATAAAATATCGTCCTAATATATGAAAAAATTAATTCATACATATATATATATATATATATATATATATATATATATATATATAGGTAACTATACAACCGCCTATAAATTTGCGTTTTCCTTTGCCTCTTTAACCAGCTTTCCTGGCGATCCGCTTAGGTGAAACCTGGCTCACTAGGTTATCTATCTATCTATCTATCTATCTATATATATATATATATATATATATATATATATATATATAGGCCTGACGATTGCATGAAACACACTGTCGCTTCAAGTGTTTACTTCTATGTTCACTTTTATATATATATATATATATATATATATATATATATATATACTGGACTCTTGACTCTCCCGTATTTTTGAGGGTCAATCTACTCAATTCTTAAAACCAACATACATGCTACCCACACATAAGGTGAAAGTTTGTGCAGAACCAACGACGAATACAGGAAGCTTATGCACAATATGCTACAAGGTCCCCAAACGACCCTCCGCAGGTTTTGAATTCAGAGTTGTCCTTCCCCAAAGGAATCATAGTGCCTTGCTATTTATTGGAATGATGGGTATTGTAAATGAATATAATACACTCGACAAGAAATTCGATCTCGGCTCAATATATATATATATATATATATATATATATATATATATATATATATTTGCGATGGGTAAATTGTCGATAATGTTTTATTTTTTGATTTCGTGCATGTGCGTTGTATGCTTTTGATTTTGTTGTTTGAATAGTATAGTGGAGTCAGTTGGCCACTGTCTGTGAGAAAACAAGCACCATGACGCAATTCAATTCACCAGAATTTTGGAAAAGGCATGCTGTACTGCTTGTCATTCGCACCGGAAGATCCAATACGAACATTTGGAAATCTGACGACAGTTGAATGTGTCTAATGGCGATTACAAAGAAACGATAGTTTGGAAAAATCACTCTGATCATTCTGATGAGAAAAGAAGCCCCGAATTTGTCCGTGATGGCCTCCGACTCAACACGGAGGACTATATCAAATGCCTTCAGCAGGTAATTCTGCCCAGTGTCAAGAGGGTTGTGGTTAGAAGAAAATGACTCTGCATCATACGATTTCGTCGGCCAAATTACTCATTACATCAGTCCACCGAACTTCCCAGACTGCAACAACATTGATTATTATGTGTAGGGTCCCGTTGACCTAGAGACCAACAAAACTCATTGTAACGCCAAACATGAAGTGAAGGCAAGGATTATGGCAGCATTCACCAACTTAAACACGAAGAAAACACAAAAGAGTGAAAAGCAATGTCGATTTAATTGAATATATTTATTCTTTAATATTTCAAGATATCTTTGTGCAATTTTGGTAAATATATCTTTCAAAATTAAATGTCAATGTTATTTTCATTATATATATATATATATATATATATATATATATATATATATGATTGGTGTATACAGAATAAATTTATTCCGTATATACCAATCATATACTTGGATATTAGCTCCTATTACTGTCGAGCAGTCTATTCTATTCTTATACTGAAATGCGTAATTTATAAGTTTAATTTCAAATTTTATCGTACAATTTAATACTTATTAGTTAGAATAAATTCTATTTTAGTATAAACCCAAATTTAAAGCAGTTAATAGTTATTATAACCTTTCTTCATTGTCAAGTTTTTTGAATTCTCGTATACTTTTATTTTGATTGGTCATTCCAGCTCATGTGACAGCGTTACCCCTTACGAGGGGTGTTAAATTAATTTGGACCTTTTAAAACCTTTATTTTCCAATCAACATTCAACATCATCACTTGATAAACAGAAAGGGTGTTGAAACAAAAGGCTATTTTTTGTAGAGATTTTACAACATATTTATGTTATCATTTTTTGAATAAATGATTATATATATATATATATATATATATATATATATATATATATATATGGTTAAGTGATTAGAACTTTTTTTTACTGAATATTGAGACCTGATTTGTCTTCGTGTTATCTGTCTGAAGGTGGCGATACAAAAAAACCATATTATATTTTGGGGGCCTCGAAACCATACGTATGTGTGAAATTGGATGGTGGTCCCAAGTCACCGTAGCCGACAGTTTGAGCGAGTTGGCCATATATATGTATGTATACGTATATGTAGTTGCATATATATATATATATATATATATTGATTGATTCAATTTAAATAGAAAACAGACAGCCTTAAAGGTCTATTTGTTATAATTTATTTCCCCAGTTATATGGTTTTTACCTGGTTCATCAGACCACACTTCCAAGGGTGAAAAAATGTTTAAAATTAACATATAGTTTTTATACACTTTTGAGGGATAGTTTTAAGTTGATGTAAGGTGATATAGATAGAGAGGGTGAGGAGGAGTATGACTGACATGGACAAAATTAGAGAGGGAAGCCTTAGATAGGAATAATTTTAAATATATATATATATATATTTATATATATATATATATATATATATATATATATATATATATATATATGCATGTGTATGTATGTACATAATGATAATATTAATGATCAGTATGGATATTTCCAAAAGCAGTTAAATCCAGGGATAGCTCTATGCTAGAGACAGAGCAATGATTATTATTATAAAAGGCACGAATACTTAAAATTTCATGAGGTTATATTTATTTCGTTAGGGTCTTAAAAAGGTCCCAATTCATCAGAACTTCAAATTTGAAGGTCTGATGAATTATATATATATATATATATATATATATATATGTGTGTGTGTGTGTTTTCATTAAATACTATAGAGATCATGCAAAATGCAATTTTAACATTTCTGATTAGTTCCTTAATTTTGCTTTGAAAAACATCATAACTAAAACGGATAAATTTAAAGTTTAAAACAATTATAAGAGAACGTGGTCATGAGCGTTTTCAAAAATCACCATCTTAATATCAATGTTACAACAAATCTGTCTTTGCAATACACACCTGAAGATGATCTTGGAGGAAGTCGAAAGTTATTTTGTAATTTTATTTTGGCGCCCTCCTTGATGAATTTCCTTTCAACATCAAGAAGTTGATTATATAACTAGAAGGGAGTATTAGAAAACTAAATAGACATAATAATTTTATATTATTAAATGAAACATGTTTGAATGAATACTTCTATCTATCTATTCACGCACACACACACACACACACATATATATATGTGTGTGTGTGTGTGTGTGTGTATGTGTGTGTGTGTGTGAAAAATTTCTTACAGTTAACCTGTAGAAAAAGACAACATTTATAAATGTAAAAGACAATAGGAGAAATTTTTTCAAGGCAAAAACGAAAAAAAAAATTATTGAAAACAAAGTAACTATTAACAAGAAACAAAATGTCCTTAGCAACTAGATTAATTTAGATAATGCTATTGTATTCATATTGTCAACTGAAAATTATGTCAAGTAATTTCGTAATTTCACTTGAAGAATTATTTTTTTTTTATTGTTGTGTTGACAGATTCAGCTATTTTCTGTTGATTACTTGATATAGTTGTTTTGTACATTGGCTTGGGAGACTAGTAATGCTATTAGCAAAGCTGACTGAATTACTACGTTAGATTAAATGACGGCTTCCGTTTATAGATTTAGGTTCGATTCCTGTCGAAGAACGCACATTTTCTACGAAATTTCTCAAACATTCAGGCCGGTTAGTTTATTTAATAGAGCTTACTTAAAAAAAAAAGCAATTGCTTAAATAAATTCTATCGATAAAAATAACGTATCAACAGAATATATATATATATATATATATATATATATATATATATATATATATAGTGTGTGTGTGTCTGTGTAAGTATGCATGCTTATGCAAAATTGATTATCTTGATATTAATCTCACGCTGGTATTGTTATGTAATATTCTTCTATTGATGAATGAATATATGCTGTCAATATATGTGTAAGTACATGTCAATAAGGTTCGTGGCTAATGGCAATGACGCAATCGAAATTCTACCACAAAGTCTTAGAGATAAACTATCTTGAACGTTCTTCTTCCTTTTCTCCGCCTCATCTCACACCTCGAAGTTTGACAGATCAAACATTCGGCAGATCAAACGTTGTAATGACGGAAAACGCTCCTCATCCGTTGATTATAGCAGAAGAAGACAATTAAAACCTCGA